AGACATTTAATGAATATTATAATCCGCTCAATCTTTTCATCCAGGACCAAGAATAATAGATTATCTTCCCCTAAAGATTTTTTATATTTATCCTACGAAAGAATCCTAGCTTCAATATATAATACTATATACGGACATTTCGTCATGATCCGAAGATCAAGTATTAGACCCTCTAGGATTTATGATATCTATGATAAATTTGATTATTTTTGATGACTATTTATAAATTTTACGACTAATGAAATTGGAAAATATTTTGATTCTGAATCGTATATATTCGAATTGAATAAATCCGAAATGAAGAATTCGTAAGATCTTCTTATTATTAAAATGAAATTATAAGAAGATATTTAAAATAAATTAAATATTCAGCTCATGATATTTATTATACTCTTATTTCAAAAAAAAATTCTTTCGAAAATAATTTCATAACTAGGAATCGATTTTATCTTCATTTGGAAAATATGAAGATTGATTTATAGGATTTATTGATAATATTCGGTATGCTATTCAAATTTTCGATTTGTTATATTCTTTTATATTGATTTTGGATCAATATATTTTATTTTTAATATTCTATATCATGAATAGGAAGGTAGGATTATAGATGAATAGATCTACGATAAGGATTATCGATTGTTATTTTGATAAAGATTTGGATTGAAAATTATTTTTAAATATCTTTTTCTTGATATATACGATAGGATATTTATTGATCTTCTTATGAGACTATATAATTATGGGAAAAAATCTAAGCTAATTAATCATCTATAAATGATAATATATATGAAGATTTATATTTGATTGCATTATTCTTCCACGCATAACGAAATAAATACGAGGATTCTGGATTCGTTGCGCAAAATATTCATCGGATTATTGATTCCGGGATGCATTTTTTGAATACAACTGGAAATTATATTTGATATCTTAATTCCAAGAAATATTCTTAGATTCAATTTTTTTTGGGTCTTGATATATCTTTGCCTTCAATTATGATAATTTATCCCAATATATTTTCTCCGATATATTTTCTTTAAATTGAATTATCTCTCATCAATCAATCAAATCAAATTCGCATCTATCATTTGAAAGATATATAGACGAAAGATGAAACTAAATATTCCAAATTCGGTCCTTGATCATTCTAATATATTATCCGCCATTTCTAGGAATTCAATTCTGATTTTAGAGAAATCTATATTTTATCAATCAGGATTCTCGAATCTATCAATATATATCCAATAAATCTAGAAACGGAATTTCGAAATAAATCTCATACGACCTATATTGATATAAATGATATATAATATATTACGAATTATATTGAGAAATTATCTCGATATCGTGATGATACGTAATAAATCAAAATATATATAGCTTGATTCTGGGATTTCTGATTTTATATAATTATCAATTTGCAAAAGCGTCCTCCCGATCGTCGTAATCTAAATCTATCATCATCAGATCTCTTCTCATATTGGCAGGTGTCTCTCAAATAAATATCATAGGATTCGGGTCTTCAATTCTAAATTGAGCGCTGCAGAATCTCAGCTTATATATTGGAGAGTTATAGAGCCGGGTGCTGGAAGGGATTTTCTGGGCGGGGCGCTGTGGTTATCAGATTATTATTATCAAGATTATATTATTAGAGATTTCTCGTTAGAGGAGCTATTCCTAGATTGCCGGGGGAATTCTTATCCGGGGGATTTCGGGTGTTGCACGTTGCATTAATGGCAGGAATCAAGATATTGATAATAGGCTATTCTTGTCGACAGAGGAATTATTCCAAGATTAGAAGAAGGAAATTGATATAAAGATATTATTGGCGGAGAATCTATTCGTTATCAGGGAATTATAGGAAATATAATTCCCGAATAATATTGCTAGAATATTATTTATAATTTATGATTCCTGAAAAATTATGATATAGATTGAAGGACGAATATGACGATATCTTTTTGAAGATTCGAGATTTTCTCTTTATAATTCCGATTTATCTATCGATAATATCGGCGAAACCTCTCTAATATATTATGATCAATTGAATCAAATAAATTTATGATATATATATAATAAAATGATCAAGAATAGAATATAATTCTATTCCAAAAGAAGAATGCGAAATCTTCTGATATCCGATGAATGATGAAATCGTTATTTTTTTTGATAATATCATCTTCTAAAATATTTAATTTTTGGTTATTTACGAAATCTTGATTTAATATAGAAATTTGAAGATATCTTTATAATGATGATCTTTAAATTATATATTTTGAACTCTATAATCCAATATTTGTTCATCAAAAAAGATTTTTTCGATTGATTTCATAATTTCATCATTCTTCATTTTGAAGATTTGATAATGAGAGATTGATTTCTGAAAATTTGATGATATAAGATTTTCTCAATTTATTAATCTCTTTTTATTAGATTTTGGGAGTATGCTTATATATTTTTTCTTAAAAAAAACGATCATCATATTATGATATTATGATAGATCTCTCTATTTATCTGCGTCAAATTTCCGTTCCCCGAATATATTATATATCAATATTTTCGTAATATTGAATATGATTGATATGAATATTCTTATAGATATTGATATAAATTCAGATATTATAGATACGATCATGATAGATCTTATCCTGAATCTGAATATATATATTCATTAATATCTTATTTCGTTGAATATAAAATATGACAATATTATAATCAAATAAAGAAAATGAATGAGATTAATAATAAGATTTAGAATATCTTAAGAATATTGATAGATTTAGATTTTAATTCATCGAATTATTGAAAATTCCTATTCGATTCTTCTATTGGAATACGCCGCAAATCTATTACTATATATGCCTTGAAATATCTAGGTATGCCTTGAAATATCAATTTATTCTATATCCCTTATCATATAATATTCATATCTTGCGAGGGATAGATATCTTTAGATATATCGCGATTTAAAAATACGGATGAAGGGTCCTATTATAAATCATATACTTTCGCATATAATCATTTAAATCATGATATATTTATATATATCGATTTTTCATATATATTCTATTCAAGATAATATCTATATTTTTTAAATCTATTTCATATGATGAAATTCATATAAATATCATCATTTAGATATAGATATCTATATATATATTTATATTTTAATGAATATTATTCTAGATAAAAGAATCTCTAGATAATTCTATTTGATATATAAATATCTATATCGAGAATATTTTTAGGAATCTAAAGATTTAAGAAATTTCAAATAATTAAAGATCTAATTCTTAAGAATAAATGATAAATCATATGATTTTATAAAATATATTTTCTATTCATTCTATATCTTATCTATTCATTTTCGTAACGTCCTCTGAAATTCAAGGAAAGGAGACGAGACGAATAGAAGAAATTAATATATCCTTTCTATTTTTATATTTCCGATTTCTATCTATTTATCCTTTAATCTTTCGTCAAAAGATATCATCAATTCTTCTAAGATATTCTCTTTATAATATTTATATTGACGAAATCAATTTTTTTTCCAAAAAATATCATAAAATATATAGTATTAAATCTTTGAAATAGATGTTCATTTGGAGAGTCGACTTCCGGCAATTGAAGAATTATGAGATCTATAGAGGTCCCTTGAAGAATTCTATTTTTTTTCTATTTCTTATTTCAGATTTCCAGATCTTGGTCAGATATATATTGGCACGGCTTTGAATAAGATATATTTCTGATTATCGAAATGCATACGAAAGAATGACTAAATTATATTCGTATTACGAGGGGCAATTCGCCAAATTTAGGCCCAAAAATTTAGATTAGGAAGAGGATCATTATCATGCCCCTCCTTCATTCAAAAAACGAAGAATATGAATTCCAATTATATCTATCATCTCTATATTCATATTATTGAAATTTCATATAAATAATTCCTCAAATCTATATATATATATATAATTTTGCATCTATTAATTTTCCAATTAAGAAATATCTAATTCATATATGCAATGATATAATAAATATCTATTCCCTCCAATCAAAAGAATTCAATTACCTTCATTCTCATAATTATTTATCAAGAATATATATGAAATAGAAAAATAATTACGAAATCTAAATTCAAATAGACTAATTTTAATCATAAAGAATTATAGATAAATAATGCCATCATTGAAATATCTATAATTTTCAAAATAGAATTATCTATATCATCTTTAAATAATGAATAATATTCCCTCTATATTTTCTTCGGCAGATTAATTAATTAATAATTGATTAATGAATAGATAATTAAGAAGTCAATATATAAGTAAATAATATCGATCTAATATAGATAAATCGCCACGAAAAAAAAGATAAATAAATATAAATAATTCGATAAAAAAAAGATATTTCATCAATAAATAAATAAAAATATTTAATCAAATATGAAGATGAATAATCGATTTGATAAATAGATATATAGATAGATAAATCAATCAATATAGATAGAAAAATGATATATATATCATCAGAGAATCATATAGATAAGATATATTCTATATTTTTAAAAGATTCTAGATATAATATTCTATATTATATGAATCATATATATAAATCCAAGTCAAAATACGTATCCGTCATTTGGAAGATATTGAATGAGGATAAATGCGATATAATAGGATCGCATTCTCGATTGATATGAATATCAAGAAGCGTCTTATTTAGGATTCTCTATATTTCCTTCTATCCGGATTATTCGAAGATCCTATTATCTGCCTCCATCCCATTTGATTTATCTCATCTTCGACAAGGTCATAAGCGCGCGCCCTCTCCAAAAATAAGAAGTGCAAGTGATGGCAAGAGTATGTTGCCTAAGGAACATGTCCCGACCTTAGGTCAGCGAACGGCACGCAATCGCTGCAGGGACATAGGATATTAACATCAAGATCAGCGGACTCAGGTGCCAATTCCAAGCATTGCTGCCCTAGTTCTGGTCTTTGCCCTCAGCAAGGGATCAAAGCTGCGAGCGCCGCTAGAATCATGATGACGGCAGTGACTAGCTGTACCGGCTGTGCCTTTGTTGTTCCAGAGTCCACTTGGGCACTCTCATCGATGCGCTCGGTCGTGGCGTTGGTTTCTTCTCCTGTCATCGACGTCGTTGAGGCGGTTCGAGATGTTGCTGTGGAGGTTGCAGTGAACGTCGAGGACGTGGTCACTGTGGACGTCATGGTCATTGATGTCCCAGTGGTTGTGAATGTTGTTGTAGACGTCATGCTGGTTGTCGTCGTGGTAGTAAGGTCTACAAGATCAATGAGCACGCCATCGTCGAGGAAGTCGGTTCTATAGCTGCTACCTGCCGGCACCACCACGATCTTGGTGAATGCAAAGTTTTGCATGTTGATGTTGATCTGGTACATGTCCTCGACGCAGCAAATTGGGGGAACTGTGCTCTTTGCAACATATCCAAGGATGGCTGCATCAGCTGGGATGTGTCCACAGTCATCCATAGGCAACACCACGTAATAGTCAAGCACGCTCTCATCCACAGTGCCATTCCTCGGCTTTCTTCTGCATCATCAACCCAGTTTTGGACCTTTAAGAAAAAACTTAGATTTACTAGTTGTTAGTAGGAATTAAGGTTTTTTCATTCCTACATAACCCCTTTATACTATATTCCCTTATTCCATACTAGCTTCCAGTAACGATATCACCCCGAAAATCCCTGTTTCCATTCCATTCTCCATTCCTAAGCCCTAAACCCTAAATCCTAAACCCCCATTGAGGTAAGCTACCCTAAACCCTAAACCCTAATAGCCCAGATTCACCATGTTGGGACCAAAGACGACGGTTCCTGCATAGTCTCCCGTCTTCTCATCTGTGTCCATAAAGCCTGCTCCACAGACCCGGCACCTTACTGATTGGTAGTAGGGAATTCAGGGAATAATGGAAAAGAACATGGAAACTTCTAGGGTAGATTTTGGAGAGATATAGTAGGGAATGTAAGGGACATGGAAACTACTAGACTGAAATAAGGTATATATAACGTTTGGTTTTTTAATAAGGAATACGGCAATATGACCCTATGTAATCCCCATAACATGTATTCACCTATTCCCGGAAGGCACTGGATGTAGGGGTCCATGGCGTGCAGCTCCATTGTCTCCTCATAAGACAAGGTCAGAATAAACAGAAAGTTTAGGGTTTAGGGTTTAGGGTTTGGGGTTTGGGGCTTGGGGTTTAAGGGAGGGTTCAGGGCTTGAGGGTTGAGGCAGGTTCGCAGTCAATGTTGCAGTCTTCTCTGGTGTCTGCATAGGTCTTTGGCCTGTAGTACCTGCCAAGTATCTCAGCTTTTGACCAGAAACTCCCCTCATAATTACCCTATATAACCCCCTTCAAGGAGATTTGAGACTATGGCTCATATGCGTTTTCACGTCAGTTTGGGATATCAACCCCACACCGCGTGGGCTGAACCCTAAGCCCTGAACTCCGAGACATACATGCTGAACTCCACACCCTAAACTCTAATCCCCGAGCCCTAAACCCTAAGCCCTGAACCCTAGACTCTGAACCCTGAACCCTACACCCTAAACCGTAAGCCCTAAACTCTAAAACCGAGGTTCCGATTGAGCTCCAAGGACCGGGCAATACCAGGTGTAGGTGCCCGCAGCAACACAAGCGGAAAGGTCGTCATTGCCGGTAGCTGTGAAAGTGACCTGAGAATTTATGAGGGTTTAGGGTTTAGAGTTCAGGATTTAGGGTTCAGGGGTAAGGTTCAGGGTTCAGAATTTAGGTTCTAGGGCTCAGGAATGGGGTTCTTGGGGTTCAAGGTTTACGTTTTCGAGCTCAGGGTTCAGCATCTAGGCTTTTGGGCCTCAAAGTGATTCGGTAAATATCCCTCAAGCAGAGCACCTGTACTCTTTTAGAGCCCCTAAACCCTAAAACCTGTAGTATGGGCTTCAACGACTCGCGTGAGATCCTCAAGCACCTGCTAAGTGCTTCACTTACCCTGCAGTTTGGGGAAACCTCTCAGGTCATCATTAAACTGTTGTATCTTAAGCTCCATGGGTTCCCGTAGACCCCGCTCATTACTACTAATACTAGTATTACTGCTATTACTATTGTTTACTGTTATATTCAGAAATCCCCTACGGGCACACTCCTGAGAAGCTGACCTCACAAGTTGCCCCGAAGGCAATGCTGTTGCAGCTTGAGCTGCCTGAACCTGGCTTTCTGCGAAGGGCTTACAGCGGGTTTAACAATATGCCCTCTGGAGGGCAGAATGCCCTAAACCCTTCAACCCTTACACCCTTAAACCCTAAACACTTAAACCCTAAACTCTTAAACCCTAAGCTCTTAAACCCTAAACCATATATAACCCCCCATATAGCCCCCAAGAGGGGCTTGGGCTCAGGGCCTACGGTTTCTGGATGCTTGAAACTTGAAACTTACACGAACTTTCTCACAAGCCAGGAACGATCAAGACCGTTGAACTCCTCTCCATCACGTGCAAGTTTGAAGTCCGGCGCGCATTGTCCGAGGGTGGATGTGGTACTTGTGGATGACGTGCGTGTGGCTGTCACGCTTGTGGAGGACGTCGCTGTAGTGCTTGCCTTACTGGGGGTTAGTAGGGAATATGGGAATATCTTTTAGAGGGATTATATCCCATTAGTCCCTACCAACCACCGGTAAGTTGCTGAGGTTGTTGTCATGGTGACTGTGCTCGATTTGGTCGTTGTCTCGGTCACAGTCGTCGCCGTCCCTGTCATTGTGGAAGATGTGGTGACCTGGACATGCCCAAGGCAGGGGGTCATCTGGGAGCTTTACAAACTAATCCCTATATGGTAGTTTCCATAAATACGGGGACCCCAATATGAACCCCAAAATGGTCCATAATCCTTATTACGGGGACCCTCAAAATGCTACCCCTAATTTTCGGAAACCCCTATATCATTCCTGACGGATGACGAACCCCATAAACCTCTTCCCTTTGTTTCAAGTCCCAGGCCCTAACCCCCATACATCCTTCTACCCTTCTCAAAGAGGTCTTTATTTCCCCCTAAACCCTAATCCCTACACTCTAAGCCCTAAACCCTAAACCCGAAACCCTAAATCCTAAGCCCTAAGCCCTAAACCCTAAACCCTGAACTAACTAAGAAATCCAGATGGCGGTGACGGTTCCGGTGGAGCTCGTGGAGGTGGTCTTAGTCGCCGTGGTGGCTGTGAGGCTCTGCCTTACTTGTGGACTGCAAAAGAACACCGCATACAATTTCTTTATGAATCTACGTGGCACTTAGGACCCCTACGAAGGGTTAACCTTTAATTACCTATAGTAGGAATATGAAGGACTCCCAAAAAGTTAAGGGTCTAAGTCCAAGCTAAGTCCCAAGGAGGAATTTATGAATAACTTTCAGGGCTTAGGTGGCTTGGCAGGGAATGCAGGGAGTGATGCAAAAAACGGGAAAATACCGAATGAGTTAGGGTTCAGGCTTAGGGAATGAAGGAGTGCAGAAGGATGGATGACGTTTGAGGACCACTGGTGTAATGATTAGCAAGCTGCGTCGAAGAAGTAGAGGTCGTCCTGGTATCGGTTGATGTGCTTGAAGCAGTGCTTGTCGCCGTCACAGAGGAAGACGTAATCGTTGTTTCCGTCTGCGTGGATGTTGCAGTGCCCGTATTTGTGGCCGACGATGAGGTCAAGGTGGTTTCTGTACCCGTGGCTGTCGACGACACCGTGCTCGTGCCTGTCACGCTTGAGGAAGTTGAGGTTGTCACCGTGGCTGACGAAGAGCTCGTGGTTGTAACCGACATGGTCGTAATGGTCATCGTCTTAGACGATGATGTGGAGCTCGTAGCGCTCATTGTTGATGTTGTCGTCGTAGTGCAAATCACGTTTCTCCTGAGCTAACACGAGCAGGGGGTAAAACCTATCAGAAAACACGACATTAGGAAGTAACCGAAGCAGAGTGCCCATCTTTGAGTCCCTGTAAGGGTTATATTCGGAGAATGGAAAAGAACATGGAAACTATAGGGGTTATAGGGACTATATAGGGTTTATATAGGGAGTGTAGCGGCACATACCCAGATTCTCAAGCAAGTTAAGCTTCATTGGCGTAACCAGCATTCCAGGCCTAAAGGTCTGACCCGATGGGAAGCCGGACCAACATGCCTGGGACTTTCTTAAAATGTAGCGGCCTTTTGTTGGGGTCTTCAGGCGAAATGGGTAGTGTTTTTTGGTGGTTGAACTAAGGAGGATAGAATCTTGCTCTATAATAGGTTTCATAGTATCCCCAAACAAAATACTACTCAAATGGAGTAAGGAAGACATATTTTCAAGTCAGTTAGGGCTGAGGGCATCCTTTGGGCTCGAGATCCATTTGCTACGGGGATTCTATGATTGGACTCCTGAATAGTGTCCTGTGGGGGTTCGTATGTCGAGGAATGACGTTTCTATTGGGTGTATACATAGATACATACATACATACAGACAGACTGACAGACATACGTACAGATATTTCAAATTTTATATATATATATATACATACATACATAGATACATGCAGGGGACCCTGGTTCGAAGACACTCCACTCTGTGATTCCTTGGGCAGCCTTATTCAGCGGATTCGTCCGTGACTATGTTGCCCGTATGTCTGATAGCGATGCATTCCAGCCTAAACCAATCCCGGCTAAGCCTTCAACCACTAAACCCTAAGCTCTCAACCCTATAGTAGTTTCCATTTCTTTTCCATTATCCCTAAACCCATGATAGTAGTTTCCATTTTATTTCAAAACCCTGGTTTTTCAGAAGCCTGGGCACCTGTGAGGCCGCCAAGTCAAGGAGTGGGCAGAACAGCACCAAACATGCCGTCCATCGCGTCATGATTGCGCTTGCCAATCTTGACAAGCCAAGCACCCCAGAGTTCAAGATCTCTTGATCTTCCGCAAGATGTATCTGTCAGTGTGTTTCAGGTCATCTGCCACAAGCTGTCTTCATTCAAAGTATTGTGGTAACGACGGACAACCCCGTCGCTGATCTTTACCCTCACTGCGAACAGGGGCACTCCAAACGGCGGCGGGGCAAAGATCGCTTGCCCGTATCAGATTATAGTCCTCCAGTCCTCCACCTAAATACCTAGAACATGAGGGATATAGAGTCCTCCTCAAATTATGGAGGATACGCAGAATATGGAGCGTCTATTAGCTTTTGAGGTGGCCTCTTACGGTCTCAACATGTCAAGGACCAGCTAGACTCCGTTATGAGCTGTCACGCAGGCCAGACAACGGAACTCAAATGAAGCCTCTGCACAGGCTCACAAGAACAGTAGCAAAGCCTGAGGGACTGTGAAATCGCTTTCACAGTTGAGAAACACTACCCCCTGCTTACCGGCAGATGTGGTCCCGCGTCTTTGCTGACTTGCCCGACCTATCTTCACAGTCTACCTGCTATGGGAAGACTCTCGGAAATCTGCATGTGATTTCCTCATATCGGCAGAGGCATCACCTAAATAGTATCTTGGGGCTATATAGGGATAATGGAAAAGAAAATGGACACTACTATATCGTATATTAGGTGTTGGGAAGCATGCAGGCAAGCTTCAGAATGGAACCTAGTGACCTAGTGACTGAACAGCTTTCCGCCTACAGCACAGGTCGATGACAAACTATTTCTGTCCTGCTTTCCCGATGCGTCGCCGGACAGGGCATCTGCGCCTGCAGAAAGCCAGGTTGAGTCTGTACATTCGCGGCTGCAATGGCCCAAAGCCCCCAGGAGATGATTAGGGGTTAAGGGTTTAGGGTTTAGGGTTATTGATACGCACAAACTTCCAACCATAAGAACCACACTTCCGACTAACCATGGTCAACAATAATCAGTTGCTTGGTCAAAGACAGCAAGGTTCAAAAACAGCTTCTTTGCTGCTGGGAGCGTCACGCATGGCGACTCCTTGTTTTCCATAGGAATCTCTGCTATATTATAATAAGATATACATAGGAGTCATGTAGGGTTTATATTGGGATAATGGAAAAGAAAATGGAATCTATTATAGTCTGTCTATTTTGCGCTTATGTTCAGCCCTGTAGCCGGTAACGCTTGTGGCAGCTAAGCTGCCACTGGTTGCTTGTGAGGATGTCAACCAACGATGCCATAAAGCCACCAACTTACTGAATATGGGAATATAATCTTGAATTACTTTTCCCTGTAAACTCCCACTACCTGGTACCCCATTACCCATTCAGACCCAATAAATATACTGTTCCCTTATTGCCTGCTTACCCCCAGTAAGCCAAATGACGGCCAGTTCTGCTTCCACCTGGCGGAAGCGAGTCCTTCCCAATCGCGCCTAAGAGCGATTCTGACCTGCAATCACATGGTTTAGGGTTTAGGTTTTGGGGTTTATCCTTGTTTTCAGGATAGGGACTTGTAAGAGCTGTCCATGACTTTAGGCTCTCTATTACGCTCGAGCCTCAAAGTTCAAGCTCGAAATGCTTCAGCGACCACGCAGCCGGATTTCGCTGGGACACCCACCTTCCATGCTAGTGCCCCGCGGCCGGGTACTTTCGGGCTTTTGGGCCGGCAGAAGCACTCCTTTACCATACCAAGGTCCCAAGCAGCGCATGCACGCCAGTCTGGATTTGAGTTTTCAATTCTGCCTAAAGACCCTAAATAATGGTTTCCAGTCTCCCAATAAAACCCGAATATAGCCCTAATACTACCCCTCTTGGGTTCTTGTTCTGCTTTTGTGGGCCATGCCACAAACCTTTCTATGCAAGGTGAACTTCGCTGGGGGCATGGGGCTACGAAGTTCTTCCATGTGGATGGTCAGGAGGGCTCCAAAGGAGCCAACAACAACACCATGATGTACGAGAAGCAAGTAATATAGCCCCCCTTAGGTAGATAGAATATGGCTTGGGGTATAGTATAATAAGATCCCCATATACCCCATGTTCTATCTACTTAAGAAAAACTCCTCATCTATGCGAGCTTTGGCCTCTGCAGCACGCTCATGATCGAGCTTGTTGCCAGGGTCAATGCTACCCTTGCCTTCATCAGCCCCTACTTGGGGGGTCCGGATGAATTAGTAAGTGGGTTAACAACCCCAAGACATATGATAATTCCAATTATCTCCACTATTACCCTAAACCCTAGACCCTAAACCTACTTGCGAAGTCCCCAGGATTCCCCGAGTACTATGCTTGGTAGCAGCCAAGCGAAAGTCACTCAGAATGCGAGGCCAGAACTCCAGAACGAACCATAAAAGCCCTGTGGAAGCTACTGCTAAACGCGAGTCTTATAGGTGCACCACCTTCACGTATCAGGGTTTAGGGTTTAGGGTTATATTGGGGTAATATATGCTATATATAGGGCTATATGGGGATAATGGAAAAGAAAATGGAAGCACCCAATATACTGTAATGAGCTAGCTCTTCGTTACCCTCTACACAAGTCTGTGAGAAGGCACTCTATATGACCGGCCCCGACCTCAGGCCGAGGAGCCCGCAGCTAACATTCACAGTATACAAACCGGACACCGAGTTTGAAAACTACAGCCCATTGTTTTTACCAGTATTATGACTATCATGATTTTTGAGGCACGGACTTTCGGGACTGCCGGCACTAGGAAACTACCAGCCACTGTCATGATGACCATTACTAGTATTACTACTATTACTATTACTATCGCTATTACTATTACTATTGCTAGTACGATTACTATTACTAATACTATTACTACCATCCGTGTCATGTGTTGGGTGCTGTGTTGCAACGGTTACCTCGGCTTTACAGCCCCAAACCTGAAATCCATGCGGAACCATAAGGGCTGAATTTGAGAGTTTAAGGGTTGGGGACTAGGGTTTATGTTTTAGGGACTAGGGTTTCGGGTTTAGGGATTAGGGTTGAGAGATTGGGGATCACCACAGTCCCCCTGCTATCCCCAAATGTACGGAGTGTGCGGCAGGGGTGAGGCAGCAACCCTGTAGTTTTCATATTCATTTTCATTATCCTTATATTATCCCAATATACTCTAGTAGTCTCCATTTTCTTTTCCATTATCCCTATATAACCCCTATATAGCTTTCTCATCCCTCCCTTCGGGCCCTCACTTAAACGCAAGCCAAAGCACCTTGACCCGTCCGCCTCCACGTAAACATCCGGACTGCCTGGGTTCAGTAGACCCATCTCTTGATTCCCTACTATTAGGGGGGACTAGGAAGCATTTAAACCCAGGTATCTAAATATTGAGGTAGGTAAATGCTTCCTAGGGTTCCTAATACTAACACCCAGTAAGATGAAAGACAGACACAACATCCAAATCTGCTGCAAGCCTCGGACAAACGGCACATTCCCAGACCCCCTTAAGGATCCAAAAAAGGACACCCCAAAATGACCCCCATTACTACACTGGGGAAACTGGGGGATTTGGGAGGTTCCATTTCTTGGATCCTTTAGGGGTCTGGGTTTATTTTGACACAGCAGTAGCCGAAAGTCATGTTGCCTTCTGACCCATCATTCCAACATGGCGATTGAGAACGAGGCGCTGTTCATAGCCCAAACAAAGTGCTTCTGAATCTGTATGGGCTGTATGGGGGTTTCCCAAAATTGGGGGTACCATTTTGGGTGTCCCTATAATAAGGATTCTGGTATTTTGGGGATCCCCTATTCATGGAAACTACGGTATCCTAGCCGTGACTTTGGATCATCTGAGCAGTGCCCGCATGGACGCAACTGTCTAGGCTTTGCAGCCGCTTACCAGACCAAGCTGTGTGGCAGCAGTCACGCAGTGGAACCGGGTGGCCGTTAAAAGGAATCTTCAGTTCCGATTTCGGTGACGTGAGTTCAAGACTTTCAGTGGTCTGTTTGACAGAATGTTGAGAAAGTCCACTCGAGGGGCTTGGACTTTGCGCAATGAAGGCTGTACAAAGACACGGCGCTGCCAAGCCCAAAGGAAAGTTCCCACTTGCCAAGAGCTTCGGTAGCCATGCAAGCGGGTTGTTTGTACCGCTGGGCTGAACCCGCAGTTTGAACAAACGCAAAAGAACTAAAGAACGGTTGTGAACCGAGATTTCAAAATTGCAAAGCAAAGAACAAAACTAATGCAAGGAATCTACGCACCGTTGCTGACGCTGCTCAGTATATACCAGTATTGCTGAAAGAGCAGTCATCCTCAACGGATACTCGCCACCACTTTTCTTAGGCTAGGCCACGTTGAAAAACATCGCAGGGCGCTCTTGGTGCTCCTCTTCCCTCAGAGGGCTCACCACTGGTATACCTGGGATATTTTTGAGGGTGTAACGTCTAGGGTGGGATATTGTTACCGGTATTTTCCAGTATCGGGTTCCAAAATATGCACACAGTGAAAATGAGGCTCAACAACCCAGATACCCAGGTGAGATATGAAGGTGAATCTTCTCAAACCTCTTCTGCGGTGGGAGTGGACTGTCCCTGCTCATTTGCTTTCTTTTCCCTTTCCTTCTTGTCATACACCATAACCGCACAGCATGTCACAAGCGTCACTGCTACCCCAATGAGAATCACCACCACCACTGCAATGGTGAGGATTACCCATCCTTCTAGACCATCATCCTGAGTTGCTGTTAAGGATCCCATAATGGAGAATCAAATGAGAAAGAAGTCGGAAAATGAAATGGGAACTGGGCTTATAGTGGTATATAACTATATAACGGTTATATACTGGGTTGCTGTTAAGGGACTCAATTTTAGGTACTATATTCGGGAAACCATATTCGTCATTTTTCTACCCATGACCTAATCTAAGTTCCTTAACAGCCCAGCATCATCTTCAGTCCTCCAGCCACCTTGAAAGTCAATGATACTCTCCTCTGCGTCCCCCACGGTGGTGGTGGCAGCCCCTTCTGCGGTGCTGTTTCCTTCCTCTGTGGTCGTAAGGTTCACTACTGCGACGGTGGTCTCATTAGCGGTTCCCCCGGGAGCCTGGCCCGCCTGCTGGGAGGTGGTAGTAGTTGTCTCCTCCACACTGTTCTCTGTCGTGATGCTCAGGTTGGAGGAGTTGTTTATTGTCAGGGTAGATGTAGTTTCTGTGACGCTTGAAGTTGTCATTGAGATGGAGGTGCTGGTGGTCGTTGAGGCGGAAGAGGACGTTGTGCTACTGAAGGTGGAGGAGCTGCTCAATGTTCTTGTGGATGTAAATGTAGAAGAGGAAGTCTCCGTGGATGTAAATGTAGAAGAGGAAGTCTCTGTTAAAGTAGTTTCCATCGTTGAAGTAGAGCTGCCTGTGGTTGCTGAGGTGGAGAAGCTGCTGGTGGAGGTGGTCGAGGTGCCTCCAGATCCCGCGGATCCAGCCGTGGAAGGTCCGTTGCCCACGATGACGTATGGGCTTGTGATTGTTGTGAATGTGGGAAATGTGAGCTCCTGGACGAATGGCACGAGATCCGTCGACCCATCTCCCGTCATGTCAATCGGGGAGTAAAAGCTCATACTGAAGGTGTTGCTGTCTGTCAGCTTGAAGCCGTCGGTGCCGCTCAGTGCTGTGAGGTCAACTGTGTCACCCGAACTGGCACTGCCGAAGACGACGTACACGTTGCTGCCTTCCGCAAGCGCGATGTCATCGTACTGGTCGCTGTTGAATTTGCCGAGGTTCGGGGCTTTCACAAGTGCCGGGTTGCTTAAGCCGGTGAAGGAAATCCCCTCGCCGCTGGCCAACGGCAGAGTCACACTGGCAGGAAAGGTTGCCTTGCCGAAGAGCAGGTACAGGCCGGTTTGGGTGCCACGTCCTGCAAACAGTAGGTCTGCAATGCTGTCGCCGTTGAAGTCCGCTGCAGTGACGAAGTAGTCTGCAAAGTAGGTGTTCGCCGCCGAGCCACACAACCGGAAGCCAGTAGTGCCATCGACGTGTGAGTAGATGTCAGCGATGAGAGCGGGGTAGGTGCTGCCTCCGTACAACACGTAGATGCAGCCAGCTCCATTGAACGGTTGGTCGCTTCTGCTGGTGGCCACGAGGTCATCGATGCCGTCTCCGTTGATGTCTCCCACTGTCAGGCCGCGCCCCAGCCTGGCATTGTCTGCATCCGTCAAAGAGAAGCCGGCGGTCCCGTCGAAGGTGGAGCCATCAACCGGTGACCAGCTGCTCTTGCCGAAGAAAATGTTCACTCGGCCGCCGTGGTTGGTTCCTTCTGAGTTGACGGCAATGTCATCGATGCCATCGTTGTTGATGTCGAAATTCGTGAGGATCTGGGGCGTGTAGCCTCCGAAGGAATTGGACCCAAACTTGCTCTCCCCGGTGTAGGTGAGCTCGACGCCGTCCGTGCCATCCCACGTCATGCTGGCCACGGTGTAGGAGGCGCTCCACCCAATTGCCTTGCCGAAGATGATCTTGACGGATCCGGAGGCCTGGTGGTAGAACAGCACGTCGTTGAAGCCGTCGTTATTCACCTAAGAGCTCTAGGCAGAAACATGTATCTTCACACTCGCACATTCAGACAGCTGACAGCATTGGCATTGGCATGTTCCGGATGCCTGGTGAGTCTAGAGTCGAGCAGACTAGCGGAAACAGCAACGGACCTCAAGAAGTTGGATTCCGATTCTGCACTCGAGCTAATGTCTAGTGACATCTCCAGCAATGGTGCCCCAACTGTTGCCACTGTTGCCGGTGACGATGCTGAAGCCATTGGAGCCGCTGAATGTGATGCTGTCGAGGTCCAGGTCGGCGGAGATACCTCCGAAGTGAACGTTGAGCGTGCCAGTCGGGAGCTCGTAGGTGAAGTCGTTCACGCCATCGCCGTTGACATCACCGGAGCTCATGGTGCCGGGGAAGTTAGCATCATCGTTGGAGGCCGTGGTGATGGCGTACACGTTGGCCGCTGCGACGGTGCCGTGATCCGAGAGCGCCCAAGTGGCGGGGTAGTCTGTGGCCGAGGCCATCTCTGCCATCGCGACAGCCACAAGTGGGATCACGGTAATCAGAGCCATGGCGCAGTTTACCCAAACTTGCACACGGCTGTTGCTCACGTCGCGCTTCTTCTGTCGTCGCTATGACTGTTACTCTAGTTGCCGTAGTAGCAGCAGTTGAAAGGTACCAACATAGGTATTGCTGTTGCCCCTAGGCGGTGTGTCGGACGGGCTCTGGACCTAAAACTTCAGTGGGCGAAGATTCGAGGCTGCAAATTTAGAGGAGTTCTGCTGCAGCAATGCAAGAGATTTCAGGGGTCAAGGGTGCCGAGACGATTAAGAACAGCAATCGGCAGGCAGCTGGTACTCCACCAGGATCTGCAGTGAAGTTGACGCGCAAACGAGTTGCAGCCCAGCCGCATGCTCGGCGACTGCTGAAGTTATCTTGGCCTTCTCCGCCAATCACCCTGTGTGAACATGCAGGCAACACTTCAGCGATGCAGCTTTGTTTGCTGTCCCTCGTCACACCCGGCAATAACAAGCACACACTTAGCAGCTTCACATCAAGTTGTGCCTCTGCTTCACCGAGATTTGAACATGATTTATTGTTTGGCATACTTAAGCACGCATCAGGTAGCATGGCTGTGTGCGGAAAGGCAACATGAGGTCGAACATCCGAGGCCGATGCTTGCCCTTGAGCTTTATTGCCATGGTCGGTCCTCATGACCTCGCGCAATAGTTCGGGGATAAGTCGAACCGATACCCTCTACCTGTACATGTGAAGCACATGGACAATCAATCACACCAAAATAGTAAGGGTAATACTAGTAATAGTAGTAAAAACAGTAATAGAAATAGTAACAGTAATAGTAGTCGAAGTTCTGAAAAGACCAACTTGGGCTTTCGAGACGGTCCCACTACGTCGGTGTGAAGCCACGAATCATCAATTCAAGACAGAAAGGCTCAGCGCGCCACGTCATCCTAGTGAAACTCCCTGCTGGCGACTTTTTCCTGAACTACGCGGCTCTGTACAGGTGCTGCAAACGGTTCACTGCCTATCTCAGTGCCTAACAGTCCTGAAATAGGTGCAACCCCAAATCAACGAAGCAAGCGCTCTCCAACCTAGGGTCCTTTGTGCTCCTGCGCGGCCCCAAAAGCATGACAGCCTCTGAAAAAGCCGTGGCAGCCGCTACCACATGTTTGTAAAGGACCCCCCCCAAAAGCTGCCTCAAAAAGGCTGGAGCATGCCCCAAAGCAAGAGGGCGCTTGCTTTTTGCGGAGCCCTGGCTTTGATGCATCATGTTTGGGGTTTCGCGTTGTGGGATTACGGAGTATGGCTTTAGCACTGGGCTGCTTCAGGCTGATGCTCCACTTCAACAGAACTCCCAAACAAGAGCCATGTGGAGCACCTGCAAGGCATGATGGGGTCACTGGCCAGGACCATGGAGGGACGGGTTCGCGCACAAGCGCTATAGTGCTGTTATGGGATTACTGCAGGGCTATGACTCTGTTGCGGGCCAGCCCTGCATGATCCAAGACTATCTGAAGGCAGCACGGGAGTCCATATCTCGAAGCTGCTCGTCCCGCTGCACCGAGCCGTACGTGAGTGCATCTGTAAAAACTGCGCATCTGAATGCATCATGTGGGCTGCGACCCTCACAGGACTTTCAAGCTGGGATGAGCCACGGATGTACGCAGGGAGCAAGTGTCTGCCTGAATTCTGCTTCAGGTATCTGTGCTCACAAACAGCGAAGCCAGACCGTAGCAGGGAATGTGTTGGGGCTGCTTGGTGGACTGACTTCAGTGCATAAATGCTACACTTGAAGCTCTATTCCAAGAAGCTCTGCTAAAATCTTCTCTGCGCAAATCTTAGTCATGCATCCAGCTTTCCCACGTGACCTGATCAGCAAGAATCTTCAGCTGCAGTGGCTCAAGGTCGTGGCAGCTACCGGGCTTTTGTTCCAGCGATCTGCAGAGCATGTCACTGATCATCCTATGTGAAACCTATACCTAGCCTTTAGGTAGCTGGGAATGAAGGAATGGAGGAAAAGAACATGGAAAGTACTGTAATTTTGTTTATGTAAGGACTACTATAAGGATCCATTCCTTCATTCCCAACTAGCCAAAAGTCAGTATAGTTGGCATTGTGGTGAAACGGAACACCCCTAAGGATGACTCGAGCAGAGGCAAGTCTGCTTTGGTCCTATAGTTGGATGAAACAAGACTAAGCGACTGAAATCCCTAAACCCCTAAACCCTAAACCCCGAAACCCCTAAACCCGAAACCCTAAACAAGTGGGTTCTCTGGCGGGCGTTTGCCCAGGAATGGATCCTGAGTGAGTCTCTGCTCTATTCCGTGGAGCAGGGGTCCATCGTGCGATAGCTTCCATGCCGCGGCCTGGTAGTAAGACTGAAGATCCGCCTCAAAGTTCTTTCTTTCGTGCTTCTTTGGGCTTTTCTTCAAATTGGCCCACATCCGCAGCCATGAGTCTTGAGCTCCACCAGAGGCATTGTGGATGGGCCTCCGGGCGGGTTTCGCCTGTGCTGGCTTCGCCAGGCCGGGCTTCGTGCGCTGGTTGTAAGAATATTGCTTCAGAACATCTTCATACAGCCTTGGTTGCTTTTGAAACCCCCACCCACACACCACAAAGCTCAAGAAACACTTTCAAGAATCTTAAGCTGCTAAGGTCGTAGAAAGCCCCATCCATTAAACATATGCTTACAGTGTCCTCCAAAATACTATGATCCCTTTACTTTCCCCAATATCTTCACATTACGCAGCTCACCAGGGAGCAGGGTTTTCAACCTCGGTGGGCCCCGCATCTTGCTTGGGAGCTCCGGATCATCGGAGCCCTTTGACATGGTCGACCCGGTATTTTGGAGGTCCAGCTGCTCAAGCATTGCGTCGAAGATCCTCTTACTGGTTCATAGTAGGGAATATCATATAATCCCTGGGATAATATAATAGTTTCCATTTTCTTTTCCATTATCCACATATATATATATATAGCCCTATACACATGTATGTATATATATATATGTAGGGGATTTTATATATATATATATATCGATCATATTCCCTTATCCCCTACTACGAACCAGCAAGTCCTTGTGCTGGCTTTGTCATCTTTTTCGGCCTCAGCTCTTCTTGCAACATAAGTGCCAGTACAGTGAACTGTTGCAACTACACTCCCGGAAACTAACCTGGAAACTCAAAAAGGGCCCTATAAAGACTACAGTCCTTTTAAAGGGGGCCCACATGGGTTTCCATGTTAGTTTGGGGGAGTGTAAACCTTCAACCCTATGACTCCCAAAAATTCAACAAAGTGCTTGATCCCAAGCCCCCACCCCAACACCCAAACTGATGATTGCCTAATTACCCTAGACCCTAAGCCCTAAACCCTACGCCCTAAACCCCAAGCCCTAAACCCTAAGCCCTAAGCCCTGAATGAGGGTTTAGGGCTCGCCTCCTGGTTCTCCTCCTCGCTGTACTTCATGCCTTGACGGGCTTGCAGCTTCAAGTCGGTAACCTGATAGGAGGTTCAGGGGGGTATAGTCCCCCTGAAGTAGATAGAATTTAGGGTTTAGGGTTTAGGGTGTATAGTCCCCTGAAGTAGATAGAATTTAGGGTTTAAGGTTTAGGGGGTATAGTCCCCCTTAAGTAGATAGTCCCCAATTATCCCACTCTAATGGAGAAGCAAATGGAAAAGAACATGGAAAACAACATGGAAACTAGGGGAATATAGTCACCCCTTAAGTAGATAGAAAAATAATTTGGGTACATTACAAAAAGATCCCCAAATTCTATCTACTTAAGGGGGGGGCTATAAGCGGCTAAGAGACCGGGCATGAGGCTTTAGGGTTTAGATGGGAGATTGTCAAAATTATGGTCCCTTTTGGGGTCCCTATTATAATACGGGGCCTAATTTAGGGGACCCAGTATGCAAACCATGGATACTGGAAATTACATTTGTGTAGATTGTAGGTGTTTTGCAACAG